AAATGGCAAACTCCGCCCTTAGCTCCTCTCACACGTGCGATTGCATATTACAGTGTCAGTAAGTATAACTCGTTTTACCTCTGTATTTTCCGGATATAGGAGAAATACCAAGTTCAACACTTAAAAAACCCGAAAGAGACATTGCTCATCTTCGGGCTAATTTTATTTTTCAATTTTGGACTCGGGAAATTCCAGCAGTTGCATTTTTTGCTTACTACTATGTGTCCACTGTATAAGGACCAAGTTGGGGATCTGTAGGAAGTTTCTGGAAGAAGATCCAATTTTTGAGGTAGTGGCAAAGTTATAACTTTTGGCTCCAAATTTCACTTGGACTACGATTTAGGCTGTTCTTCTGTGGTCATTTTTTTGTAGAGCCTGCTTTGCTCTATCGAATATTGCCCGAAGGCTAGGAGAAAAAAGCCCGAAAAGTTTAGAAAAGGAGTATAATTGTGGGGTAACCTAATATTTTTTTAAAGATGCGGTTGCTCGAGATTTATCAAAGAATTTTTTTTCACGGAGTATACAAACATTGCGCGTCGTAGCCGGTACAGTGAACTTTTTCGAGGGCAACCTACTGAAACCCGATGCACATCCATCAAGTGCGGTATGAAGGGGCCTAACGAGCTAGCGGGGGATTCGAACACATTCTAGCTGATCTAGCCCATAGATCTCTAGACATCAACCATTAATTGATGAAGAACACTTGATAGGCATCTTGTTGCTTTGTTGTGTCATAGATCTGGTCTAGTTAGTGTTTTCTCTAAGCTCTCGCTTTCTCCATTCAAACCTTTGTCAAGACTAATGCGTTCTTCCTCTTTTCTGCGAGGACTTCCGTTTGTCAAATTCTTCATCAAAAAGGTCTTATTTTTGCTTATATTCGATTCCTCTAATTGAAGATGCTAGCAACGTCTAAAGAGGTTTTATTTGTTTTTTGATTTAACAGTCACATCAGTGATATATGTATTGAATTAATACATAAGTCATGCATCTCAGGAAAAATCCCTTCTAATTGGGGGAAAACTGAAACTAATCTTTTGTTTCAAACAAGAAAAACTTTCTTTTTCTTCTCCCTCCACCTGAACTATGCTGTGTATACATAAAATAAGGTAAAATAAATCAAAAGAAAATTTAAATAAACTCTGATTTACTTTGTTACAGATAAGGGGTGCTGTATTAGACTATGTATATTAAAGGCTCTTCGAGTAACAAAATCAAAACGTAGAAAACTTGAAAAATAACCTGTTAGTGCATCTGACCAGCGTAGTTTTCGTTAGAGAAAAAAAGTTGTGAAGACAATCAAAAAAAATTTTTTGGGCTTTCTAGCATTTTTAGGAGTTGAAATTAGGATAATACGATTAGACTGCTTCTGATCATAATTCTGAACAAACTCTGTCTAATATGATATTACATTTGAGCGGTAAAGCGGTATCAAGACTAGTTTTTTGCTTCTTAGACCAGTGAATCAGACAGTTTGTTAAAAGAAAAGAAACTACGCTTCTTTATAAAATTTTTGTACAAAATTCACGGAGCATTCTAAGACAAGTATACAAAAAATCAAGTATCCTGAAGACTGATTTTAAGGCCAGAGAGAACCTGGGGAGGGGTCCGGGTAGTGGAGAAGTTGCTAGTAGAATAGTCAGGGGGAGGGGAGGGGAGGGGGGAAGAAACTGGGAGGAGACTTCTTACATCTATTATTGATCAAACTTTCTTAAACTTACAATTGATTGATTTGATTAGTATTCGAATAAAGAAAAGTGGGAGCCAGGCACTTGATTTGGATTTGCAACCCCAAATTAGATAATTTGAAAACGAGCAAATATTCGATCATTTGCTTTCGATTTGTCAAAAGGGGCACCGGCAAAAATTTTCGTTCGAATCTCCGTTGAAATTTTCATTCGAAGAACCGTCTTAAAAATTTCTGTACGGATCAATAACTTACTCATTCAGCTTCTTTCCAAGTCTTTTTCACAGCTGCCTTTTTGTGAATTTATTCATCGCATTTCAGATGGATCAACTTCGGCAAAAAGTGAACGAGAGACGTTCACGCCATTCACAGTTCGACATCAGTGGCTGTGGCGCGGATCCGGATGCGGAGAGTCCGTACGCAGGCGGTGGCGCCTCCGATACCGGTTATTCGCAGTACAAAAACAACATCAACGACGAAGACATCTACGTCTATGGTGACGAATGGAGTAGCGACGACGACGATGGTTAGTGCCGATTCGCGATTCTTCGCCCCCGCACACCCGCTCGAATTTTTTATTTCTCTCTCTCATCGTTTTCGTATTTGTACGCACGAGCGCTAGCCACGCATGCGTTTTGCGGCGCCCGAGATTTTATTGTCGTCGAAAATGCAAAGCTGAGCGCTAAACTGGTTACA